AAAACTCAGCAAATTTGCAAAAATAATCCGTCGTCGTAAAGGGGTTTACCATACGAACAAACGACTCATGAAGGTGCAAAGCGAACAAAATCCGCAATTAATTCGTCTGTTCAAAGAACAAAACACCATTCAAATATCGTCGTTTGAATGCCATCTCTTAGAAAGCATAAAGCCAGACATGTATTCATGTATGTATTATACAACAGCTGCGATTGATTTTCAACTGATAACAAAAACTCTTCGAACTCTGTCGAATCGTTACGAGAGAGAACCAAATTAAGTATTGATGAAATTACTCTTTAAAGGCGTTGCTACTGAGACATTCTTCTCGAATCGCCGGAGAAATCTCTTAGAAACGACTTTTGAAATGATCCACAAAAAATTGTTTGAAAACATTTTTAGGAGTCGTTTAAATTTCGAAACTCTGATTTTGCATTCGTCCTTTTGAATTGGGATAAACGCATTCAAGTGCTCAGTTCATTTAGGATTGGGATAAACTCTGATTTTGCATTCGTCCTTTTATTTGGGATAAACGCAAGTGTTCCTCAATAAAGCCACAGCACAATGACTGTCTCCACTAATCCATTACCATAACCTCAAACGAAGTGATCCATCCATCATCTATCCGCCAGAACAAGTTCACTTCTACAGTACATTATCGGCAATCAACTCTCAATCAGAAATTAACATACACAAATTGAATTAATACATTAACAAAATTTGCAATGAAATCCATCTCGAATTAAATTCCTATTAAAACCACCTCAGAGACACGCCCCCAGCAGTCTTATTCTACAAATCCACTTCAAAAAGCATTCAATTCTCATTTTTGCACGACCAAACTTTGACCACGCCCCGTCGGTTCGTCCGTCCATCAGTCTACACTAATGTTTTTCTTCAAAAAAGAAACCTTTCATCGTATGAAGATGCAAAAATTGTATGTGAAATCTTAACTTCAAGTCTAAGCGTAAGTACGCGATCCAAAACGATAAGATGACTTAGGGAGGCTTCAGTGAACCTTTATGAACAGTCAAACGCTACCGTCTCTAGAAAATGATCCTTTCGTGGATAGAATATGCTCGGTCGGTCCCACATATAGGTTCCAGCCGAAAAATTTGAGGTAAAGCGGACAGCACACTTCATTCTCAATAAATTAATTGGCGTTTTCGATTTATCGACCGCATCCCATCACACAAAATAAGTCTAACTAGTGTGTAAGTCGAACCGAAAGTGGAATTACTGGAACTCAAGTCATAAAAATATTCATTTCATAAAGATATCAAATTCAATTAGTTCAGCAAAAACTAAAGTTAGCAATGTGGGAAGACACCAAAATCCTTGTCGTTCCTGGTAAACGCTTGGTAAGTAACGCTTTTTCAGCAACTTGTTTGTTTGTTTGTTCGACAACGCACATTTAGAACTCCAATAAATTTCACTACCACAAAAAGTATCATTGACTGTAAAAACTTTTCCTCCTCCTTCTACACAGCTCTGTTTAGCCAACAACAACTTATGAAAACTACAATAAACGTTTCAAACTGTGCGAAATTCTCAAACGCCTTATTCATCCCACTTGGCTGTGAATTGTTCAGTGGAACTGAACTGATGACGGGAAAATTTTTGTTAAAATGTCATTTGAGAGCAGAGCGATTTAATCGAGAAAATTGCTAACAGCCACTGTATCATACTGAAACTGATTTGTCGTTTTCATGAAATCACCTCAATCGTGCATGACAACTTCGGAAAACAACGAACACGCAACGTGTTTCATGGAATTTTCTTTTGGAATCTGAAAATTCTGGATGGAAAAATCGTTGGGAGATTTATTTTTTGGAATAAAATATTCGTGAACGATGTCTCCAAACCGAAAGAATATATAATGCAGATAATCGCAATTCGCATAACGAACTGTAATTAAGGGCTTCAGAAGTTGTGCATTAACTGCGCTGACTGAACAGAAATGCAGCAAAATGCTGATGTTTCGAACAAGAGTATTCGTTGAGATATATATAATAGAGCTCGTGAAGATAATCTAATAGAATTCAAATTAACGAAGATACGCATCACACAAAAACCGAATCCACATTTCCAATGCATCTATCTCTATGCCAGCACATTCAACAGCAACACATCTTTATGGCTATTATTATCATCATTACTATTATTGCAACGTTTCATTAATGTTACATTCATTATCACTCGTACTGATCATTGCTACTTTGATAGTATCACTCTCATTTGACTATTCACAAATATTCAACCAATGAAATGAATACGGAATTACAGAGTACAACCGCAATATTGTAGCGTTGAACGTGCTCAGCGCTATCTCGTTCGATAAATATATCAGAGCATTTGACGTCAAACGTGCTCGGTGATAAACATTTGCAAACGTTTACTGAACAAACGTCAAAGATAAACCATAAAGTGAGGGATGGGTTGATTGAATCAGATGAAATGATACTTTTTTGTTTTAATTATTTTTAAATAAGCAGTTTTATGGTACTGTCTGGACGTGTTCAGTGTTCACGTGAAAAACTGAAGAAACTTCTAAGGATTTACGGCCCAAATAAACGTTATTTCAAAAAAATGAATCAATCGTTTTACTTTAATCAGTAATATAACACCGATATCGAATGGCACTTTAAGAGACGATTTTAAGAGAGAAATGAGACAATGCACAGTATACATCGACATTGTTTAGCGGTGTTTTTGAATCGTTTCAGTTGTTTTGCTGAATTTCTTTCATCATTCATAAAATTATCGGTTGTCTTCAAAACAATTTTGACGAAAAAATGGTATTTATTTTTTACTTCAAAAATGGAATTTTTAAAGAAAATTAGGCATTATTGTGTTTCATTATTCTGTAATTAAAACTATTCCCTATCATTATGATCATCATCATTACCATCAGAATGCATTCCACTGTTCTCACCACTTAAGGCTTAACAAGTGTATTTGCTGAGAGGTAAGCTGATGAATGCAGCTCGATGGTTGGAAACGGTAGAGGAGAATGTAGAAAATGAAGAAGACATCAAACAAAACAAATATTCACCATCGAAAATTGCTCAAAACAGATCACATTCGAGCAGTACTTCTTCAGCGATTTCTTCTGAATAACAACCAATTAAAATATATTTCAAAAATATTCGCAGACTGACGAATGAGTCGTTTGGTTGGGAAAAATGAACGAAAATACGAAAACAATTCGAATCGACGTTTTTCTGTTCGCATTCGTTTTATGTGTTGCTCTATCAGCTAACTGCTGCGATAATTCAGCTGCGAGAACTTCGTCTCTTGAAGTTTTGTTTGTCTTTTTCGAATCGAACGCAATTCAATTTGTGACTGTTTCAATTTTCTATTTTTAATCTCAACAATCAGCAACAACATCAATAATAACAATAATAATAGCAACATCCATAATATTCATTCGCACTCTTCAATCTTGTTTCATCATCGAAACTTTCCTCAAACGATTATAATAAATATTTTTGCGGTGTATTTTATTGTTGCATCTTTATGAAATGGTCATCGCAATAAAAAATACGCAATAAAGAGAACGAACGAATCAAACGACGACGTCTCTTCTGCACTTCAGATAAACGCATGCATAGGTCTGTCTGATGAAAAATGACGTTATTTGCTACATATGATATTTGCCATCGAAGTGACTTCACCTCGAGACAAATTGACGATGCATTTCGTCAAACAGTATTTCAAAATCATCGGCAAAAAACGTTTTCAACTGTGCAAAATTCTACAAAATTAAAATTTATGGAGACGCTGACGTTCTCTTCATCGCCAAATAAACGTCAAATTCCCTAGAAACGTTCGAACTCCTCATAAAAAATTCGAACTGCCAGTAATATTTAATAAATGGCAATAATCAGAGCGAGATATCATTGTACATCACATTTGGGCTTAGGCTCACGATAGATTGGGGCTTTGCCGGTGTTGGGATTCTGTCATAGACGGTTTCATCTTACGATGGTGAGGTGCCTGTGAAACAAATAGATGGTTTCCAGGTATTAGCCTCAGACTAAACCTTATCCCAAATTCAACGAATGCTCCACGATATGCCGCTCTGATTACCGCCACGTATAAGGTTATTGCTCGAAAATTTTTATTCTTCATTCATTCTCGTTTTTACGCAGTATTTGATTGCTGGTCAAGTTGTCGCTAAACAACACCAGAAGAACCCCGAAATGAACAATCGCCCAGCTCGAAAATAGAAGTTATGTGGAGAAATGAAGAGAATTCGAATAGGCATGAGTCACTGCTGTAAACCAGTGCGCACTTCTCACCAATAAAGACAAACACAATAAACTGCACTGATAACAGTAATCATAAAGAGATGCGACTGAAATAATCAGTGCAAAAACGTTGAAGGAAGCCGGTTGTAACTCGAGAGAAGCATCAAAGGGTAGAGCATCAAAGCTGATCATGAAATAGCCTCATCAACGAGGCGATATCGCATGGTGGATATTGAATTAGACTAAGATTGCTCGCTGCGATTAGAAATAGACGAAATACTTGTGCACACACATAAACTGCGAAATTCCACTTAAGGCAACAACAAATGAACAAAATTTCAATCTGCTCGTATACAAAAAGCGATCTTGTTGCGAATCGAACAAAGGGCAACACATTATCGAATTTGATGCTTTAATTCAACTCTAGATCAAATGCTTTAATATGATCTTATCATTGTAAAAATGCAATAATCTTAAACACATCAACATTTCCTAGTCACTCATATTTCATATCTCATTTCTGGCTAAATCACGAAAAATTCAATTTCATTTCCATCCATTCCTCAGACAATCTCATTCAGACAAGTCATGCACGAATGAATGAATAAAACGATGAACATCCTCGCAATAATTGCAAAAAATTGTATAAATTTCACATACAATTACGCAGTCGAGTGCTTAATGAACATGTATTTGGTATGATTCAACGAATATGAAGTTTAATTGCTTAACAACCTTTCCCTTTCATCAACTGCATTCACGTAAGCGATTGACTACAAAATGAGAACTCCAAATGAAGATTTTCAACAGCTGATTTACATCAACATTCAAAATTTGTTTCCGTTTACATTCATTCAGAAGGATACACGGAATAAAATAGCAACGACCTATGTGAAAAATATTGCGTATTGGTAATATAACGGCGAATGAGTGAAAGTGAACTGACTGTGGCAGAGCGAAAGGTGTTGCACCGAACAGCATGGACGGGTGATGTTGATGGTGACTATTCGGCGGTTTCGTCACAGACGAACAACCCAGCATGGCGGCGTTTGGTAACGTACCGCCGGGTGCTTTGCATAGACCTCCTCCTCCCGCTCCATTCGGCATACCTGCGGGATTCGCCAATGCCGACCTTTGCAAACACATCTTCTAAACGAAAAGTAAATACACTTTTTGCTATTCGATCTATTCAACAATTGTAATCCTTCACATAATCATAGAGCATTTCAAACAAATCCATGAAACTGCTTATGCACTCATACAGGTCGTTCATACAGCATTTCATTTAAGTCATCTTATATTTGGGACACAATAAAGTTTGCAGCCGGATTCACTATAATGTTTCGATGCTTTTATAAAGTAAATCCTTTATGCGATTATAACCAAAAACGATTAAAGATAAGTACAGTCAATAAAGACTTGTGCTGAAAGGTTTTGTAAGGTTGAAAGATGACAACATTCTCGAAGAGCTAAATGCGAAAAAAACTCGGGAACTGCACTCACTCACTCATTTCATCGAAAAAACGACTGTTCAAATACAATTCGAACTTTCGAACATCATCAAATGTTTGTAACCTTCTCAATATGTGCGTCTATTATGCATGCAGCACATATGCTGTTGTGTTCATTGAAAGAAACGGCGATCTGTGATACGAAATGAAACAATGCGATTTGCAAAGCAGCAAACATATGCGGCAGTACACGCAAAACATTCGTTATCTTAATCGCTCCTCATACTTTTTCTTGCTATCGTCTCAATTGGTCGGTCCATTGTCCTCTCTCCAAAACCAATGCATCCATTTCAACCAAACCACCAATCAACTAATACTAATCACCTCCTGACAAGAAAAACAAAACAAACAAACAAAAAAAACACAAATGCTGCTTGAAAACGCGTTCATCATCTCGTCAGATTCAATTTGTTCCGCAGACAGTTCCGTGTTCTCTGCTTTTTTTTCACCCCTGCAGACACACGCACACACTATCAAAAGTTCATTTTTTTCAGTGTTCTCGTAAAAACAGCTGATTACATGAGGGAGTGCCATCTGTCAAAAACGAGACACTTTAACGTAAAAAGTGCAGCGAATACCCTGATGACATCGAAGATCGCACACACACGCTTAATTGAATGCCATATCCAAAAAAGACACACGCATGCACAATACATACACAAAACACATTCAGACAAACCAATCCGATATATGTATGTCTACGTAATAAAACTCAACACAACGAATTCATCAGCAAAAATCAATGCAAAATAAACAATAAATTCTTGAACAAGCATTCTAAATATTGAGTAATTGCTGAAGAGAGAAAAACAAGTAGTGAAGGAAATAAGAGGCGAAAGAAATTTGACTCTGAATTTAAAAAAAAGATAACCTCAGAACAGGTCAACATTGGTGATACCGATTGCAAATTGGCCGGTGAGAATGCAGAAATGGTATTGTAGTTGTTAGCGTTGTTGCAGTTGTAAGTGCACGTGTACGACGACGAGTAGAGTGCATTGTAATGAGGATGTTGCATGTTGAGATTAACATTGTTGCTATTATTATTAGTATTATTATTGCTGGATGAATCACACTGTGACGGCATATGAAATGGATAAGTATTGCAGCAGTGATGAGATGAATTGCTCGTGTCCATTGCTATTCGATTCGCATTCCTTAATTTTATTCGCTGCTTCTGATTAAAAAATGCTCAATCGTATTTCAACGTTTTCATAAAAACACTTATCACTTCACATTGTATTGATTAAAAGATTGTTTCGAATAACGCAAATTGTATCCGAATATGAAAATTTAAAGTTAAGTACAATTGGATAATTCGAACATATTTTGTTAAGAAACAAAAGAATTAATGGCTAGAAGCAGCTAGAGCTAATGGCATCATTTTGTCGTAATGAGATAAATTTTTGGAATCACAACTGCAATGTTGCGATCGTTTCAATTTGATACGAAACCGTACAATAAATGATTAATGGTATGTATAGGATAAACGACAACAAACTATTGGTACAAGACGATTACTGTGAAATTTTCAATCTTTTTTTTGAGGGTAATCGCAACTTGAAGTTGAAGTTACTGAAGATAAGATCATCATAAGTGTCAAAGAAAGAAGTGAACAACAAACGTTCATAAGAATAGCGATTACATCTTTTTAGTGTCTAAAAATCGAACGAAACACTGCAAAATCGTCATAAATATTCAAAAATCGTCATAAATAACAGTCGAAAAAGTTTTCTACCAGAAATTTCCATAACAAATGATCAAACCCCAAACATATTCAGCGATAAAAATTAATCCTTTCTGCATTTCCTTTGCGCTTTAACTGCTTTCTTAAATCAAGCATAAACCGATCGACAACTACAACGTCACTCACTCTCTGCTAAATTCATATGGCAATAGCAGAACCTTTCATTGCCTTTAGACAAATAGGTGAAGCTTGTGCTGATATGATAAGGGTGTTCGATGTTGCGAGGTAATGCACACTGCAACAAGAGTGTAACGCGATCAACAACAACAACAGTGCTTAATGCATGCACAAAACAACGTGTGCGATTGTTTCATGTTCAAATGAAACATTGAATTTGAATGTTTATTGCATGCTAAAATTTCAAACATTATTGACTTTATGAATATTTCAATCGTGAAAAAACGACTTGTGAAGACAGCAATGACGGCTGATAACAGATTTTTGGTATGAAAAATATGTCTGGACGTCTGTCTGTCATTCAAGCGCTAAAACTTGAAAAACTGATAACACAATTATGATAAGAAACTATTTTCAATGATCTTTTTTTTTCAAGCAGCTTCAGAAGCAAAATTGGAGAAGCTGCACGAAACGATCATACTGCGAAAGATTCTGTGACTGATTTTGAGAAGAGTCTACTTTTAGAGAGGTTGAATTTAATGTAAAATAATATTTCAGATTGATCATCTAAATCGAATTCCCACACTCTCAAAAAAATGCAATGAAACCAATGGAACGTTGATAATTTGCCACTTTTTTGTTTTGCATGAGTTTAAAGAATTTTTGTTCAGTGGTTGAATTGCATTCAAAAAAGCAGTCAAAAAAGACGAGCCAATTGGTTGTGGCGAATGTATTTATTTTGTATGCGATTCGAATGATGTGAACGAAACGTGATATCTACAAACGCTTATGTGATTTATGGAAGAGGTACGTACATTTATGCACAAGCGATCATCTGCATCACATTCGAAACAATAAAACCAAAAATTTCACCGAAGCAAAAACGATTAAATTCACCTCAAATTCAATGGAAAAGCAAAGCAAGCGAGTTGAACTCATAATTGGATACGTCTCATTAAGTAAACATAAATGCATTTCTAATTGTCCTTTCACCTGTTTCACCATCATCTTCTTTCGTCTCCATCGATAGATATCTGCCATAAAATTACATCATATAAATTGAGTATTCTTGTAAAAAGCGCACAATCATACAGCACACTTCCTATCTTTACGAATGTTTTCGCTGTCAATTTTTCGAGTTAACGAATCGAATCAACTAAATCAACAGTCAAACACGCATCTCACCGTATCATATCATATCACATAAGCACGCCACCTGTAATCTGTCGTTCTGATTTATCATCGCATTCAGTTCAACAAAAAAATTTACTTTATGTTAATTTATCACACACATTCTTGCAACAGCAAATAAAAAAACACTCACACAAGAACATACATACACACACATATTATGAGATATCATCGCATAATATACAAGATGCAATGGATTGCTCTCTTTTTTTTTTGCATATTATGCTATTCACAAACAGATCCTCGTTCCTCCTTTCAATGCTAATTTCCACTAGCACCAGAACACTATTAATCATCTCATCACATTTCAGTATAATCTCACAATATGGCTGTCCAACTGATGGAATTAGTGAGTGATCAAAATACAATCATAGTTCGGATCATTTGAATGACTGAAACATTTGAAAGTAACGAAAAACGATTAAATTATCCTATAATATCACCTTATTAACCCCCAACCCTGCTCCCATCATCTTAAAAATCGCTCATATTCGTTGACCACTTGTGTATTTTTGTTTGATCCACTGTAAAGAAAGATACAAAGCAAAATGGCAAACAGATTCATTGGGAAGGCCGTAAATGATAAACGATAATGAGGTAACATTGCGCGTGCATTCGAGTGTCGGAAAGAACAAAGCGATTCAGTGTTGAAAATCGTTTTTCCATCCATTTATTTCACAAAGACTGTGAATGGCTGCTGCTGCTGCTGACGGTTGATAGGTTGTGGTGGGCATTGTTAAAATAACGTATTGAAGTGCAGCAGTTCACCAATAGATTTATATACAAATATATGTTTGGTGCATTAAAATCGCAACAATGGGTCATTAAGCAGACAATACTGATGGATGGTCGCATAGATAGATGAATATATGTGTAACTTGAATAGAATTTCGAAGAATATTTCTTTCAATTTCATTAAAATTCAACAAATAAAACACACCAACTGCATTTATTTCATCATATAATATGGATTTGCATGCGCGAAAAAAAGACGAACAGCTGAACAATAGTGAATAATTTGTTTTGATTAAAGGCAAAGATTTTTATTGCTGATCGCACATAAGTAAAAAGGTTCATTGCGCGTTCCTTTCATGGCTTTTGCCTTTCATTGTTTGCTGGATCTGTGCAGATGAGATGAGATGAAAAGCTGCATTTGCATAAAGTTGCAATTCACGAATCTTCGTCTTTTCAAACACATCTAATCGACGATATCATAATGTGAGAAAGTAAACGTAAGCTGACTGATACAGTCATTCCTTTTCAACAGCTGAAGAGCCATTGCTAATCAGACATTTACAAGTAGCATTGAGAAACACTGCTTTAGAAATGAATTGATACAGCGATGATAGCATAAAGGTAGTTTCAAAATAAGCACACTAAAATACTGCATGCTATAGACACAATAATTCTCGACGTATTCAAGCAAAGTGGTAAACTTCCGTTCATCATTCAAATGAGTCTTTCGGCGCACAACAAACAAATTATTGCACTGGTTCGAAACGATTAGTTGCTTCATTAAATTCAAAATTCACCAAAAATTGATGGTTTCACTGCTGGACGGATCATCAATTATAGAGAATAAC